AAACTCCCCATTTATTCAATTCTACCAAATTGTAACAAGCTACAGGCAAACTTGGGGAAAAAACTGTGCCAGGCAAATGTTATGGTTGTTTAGTTGAGGGTATCCAGGGGTGGGGAGGCCTCCAGGCCACCTGTGGTCCTCCAGATCCCCAAGTGTGGCCCCTCAACCAAATCCAAATTTCACAGAAGAAATCCCTTTATTAAAGGATTTCTTCTGTGAAATTTGGATTCAGTCAACTATAGGACTTTCAGGTAAGTTCATCTTTTCCCTACATAAAGTGTAAACCCTCACAGTTAAAATCATGCCCTTAACCCTCTGAGGCACTCAAAATTTGCTAAGATGCTCCTTCAATATTTAATCTTCTGTAGCTACCACATTGCTCAAGGTGGCGAAAGCACACGTGAAGACAGCATTTGGCTATTTATTTGTCCTTTTCAAACCCATTACCTGGTATTAGTTAGCACTTTACATTTACCTCCAAAGTCTTATGAAAACTTGCCATTTTCACGGCTACATGTATACTTAATACCAATAATAAGAAGGTCTCTATATAAGACAATGGGATAACATTCCAAAGTGATGCAACAACAGAAGCAAACATAAATCCCCTGATAATAAGATTGCCACTCCTCTCTTCTATGAAATCACCTGTAAACTATGAAATCCTACTTTACAAAGACCGTTGATTGAAGTGTAAAGTATTTTCCTGCTCCCTTAGACATGCCCCTAGCACCACGGCATAGTGCGTGTGTAAAATTTCATAAGCAAACCAAGATACCTGGAATAAATGTGAAGCACGATAAATACTACGGAATGAATGTTTTTCTGTTGCTTTAAGAATTCATTCTTAAATACCTAATACAACAGTATTATACAAATGTAACAATTTCATTTATTATTATTACAATAAAAATAGGGCAAGTCAAGGCAGTTTCTCTTGGGCTCAGTTCATGAGCACCAACATGTAAGGCTCCAGTAGGACACATCTAAGTAACCTAATTTCAGCCCTTTTCAACAGTGATGACAGTACCTTTGTGTACTCACAGCACCTAGCAAACGTCTGATATGAACCAGGCCCGTAAAAAATGTTGTTAAGTACAAAGAACTATAAGCAAACTACATCATGTGGCTAGGTTCATTGAAATCCATATAAAAACATCTATCACCAGAATATAATGACTCCATGAATTTGATTACAGATCCATATCTTTGGATAAACACATCTCAGATTTGGAATAGAGTTTCTTAAAAATTTATGTCTCTTTTTGGTTTCTGGTTTCAGGAATCTTATTCTCATCTAGTAATACAATATCAAATGAAAATCTCACATAAATTTACTCTCTCCTCGTCTATATTTAACAGAGCTAAAAATAGGCTTAAATATTTAACAGATAGCTGAAGTGTTCTCAACTCCATAACAATAAGAATACCTCTCATGAAGAGAGAATAAAAGAGATTTTACTTTAAAAAAAATAAAAAAATTGGTTAACTATTTGCTTTTGTGTAAATGTTACTTTTACTTTAGGAATCGGAAGAATTTCAAACTTTCTTCAAAATGATTTGATATAAGGCTTCTTGATTGACAATAAAATAATATACACATACATGTTTTTGACAAAATACATAAAAGAAGATAACTTGTTCCCAGGAAAGTTCGTAAGCCACAAAAATCTTAGGTACCTATGCCAAGGCAGAGTGGGGAGGGACTATTTATCTTTTAACAATGACAGAACTCGTATCCAACCATGACATGATCAATGTCCAAGTGTTCTCAGCTATAAATGAAAATAAAATGCAAACTTGCTCCTGATGAAATAGACTGTTACTAAAATAACCAAGTTATTATTTAATAACTGAATTTTTGATACATATAAACTTTTTAAACAACAAAAGAATAAGAATATTGGCACATTTTTCTTTTGCTATGCCAAAAAAAAAAAAATTGTGCTAAAAGGCTATATAGAACTAATTTACTTTCTTTGAAAACATTGAAAAGTCTGCCTTTTCTCATTGGAAAGGCATATATAAATAAATAAACTAACAAACACATGAGTTCAAAATGATAAGTCACCTTTCAAGTCTTTCTTCAGTTTTCTGAGATCTTTTTGGAAATCGTCAAACTTCATGTGAGAGGCCTGGAAAAGGTCCTGGGGCTCTGGCAGTGGGAAGACACACTGCTCCTTCCCAGCGTCCTAATTAGCCAGAAATACGTGATTTTTAAATGAACCAGCACTGATATAAGTAATAACAGCAGCAATAATAAAAACAAACAAACAAACAAACAACAAAAAAACACTGCCAAATCACCCAACAAATAAAGAACATAATACAAATATACGTAAAAACTTTCTTACCTCATCAAAATTTCGAAGATAATATGAAACAATATATGACAAAAGGCTTCTGCTATTGTCCTAGGCAGAAAGACCAAAGTCAGTAACTTTAAAAAAAAAAAATGACATGTAGCATTAAAGAAAATAAATTCCAGTGAATTCACATAGATGCATGAGAACATTTAGAATGCAATGTAAAATTTTACATTTTGAATTCTTAGTCATTATATCTAAGGAATTGAATGGCATAGATTTCCCCCTCTAATGTTTCAATCTAAGCATAACTATTTAAGAGCGGGGTCTCAACGGTAAATACTTTCCTATTTTTATTCTCCTCAATCAGAAATTTAGTTCATTAATTTTTGTTTTATTATTTTATGATTATGAATTTTTTATTATGTTTTAAAACTACTATCTTAAGTGAAATAATTAAATATTGCTGTCATTTACATATACACAGCTAGACTAGCGGGTACCCCTCCACCACTAAGTTTGATTGAGGCTCATTAGCATATAGACCAGGGAAATAAAAAAGCTAAGTATCATTTTGAGTAAGTGGGAGCTTTTAAAATGCCAATGCATATTATAATTTGTTACATCAGCAATTGAGATTGAGGAATTAATATCCATGAAGCTATAAAGAAAATGCACACACAGGTCTACAGAAAAAAATATAAAATTGTTTTATATCTAACAGACTTCAAAGAACAGATTTTCACTTCCTTTCTGACAGACTTAGAGGCATTCATTTTTAATTAACTTTTTTTGCATTGCTCCAAATTAGTAGGAGATAATCCGAATCAAGAGACCAAATACATATTTCACTTGAAAAACAAACTCTATGATTCAAACTATGTTCTCTGGAATGTTTGACATAACCATGATTATAACCATGATTTCCCCCCACTTATAAAAAGAGCAAAACCCCTTCATAATTGAGTTTGACATGAGATAGTAATATATCTATTAGAGACTTCCTTCCTCAGACAGGATTTGCTTGTAAAAGGATTTAAGCAATTGGACTTTGTTCTGTCTCCTAACATAAGTCAATGAAAGGGTCAGCAGTACCTGAATCAATTAACACATTCATTAAACGGCTGCTGACAGGCACAGTGGGAGAAACTCTGGGTGATGGAGGTAACAGCTCTGTCCATGGAGGACTACAATGGACTGGTAGTACTGAGAAGTATCTATAGTTACATTTGTCTTATAGAAAAAGAACCAATTCTGGAAGACTTAGCATAGCTCTTCAGGGAGTGTAAGTGAAATTATTTTTAAAAATCTTACTTCTTGATTCAGTACTTAATTTTTATTTTAGATTATGCCTTAATTAATGAAATTTAACTTAATGGAGGATTGAATAAGATATATAAACCAATAAGATATATAAACCAATACAAAAAGAACCCAAAATTAATCGCTTACTTGTACATGGTTACTAGAATCTATTTCTGAAACATTTTATAAGTTAAACATTGTATTGATGCTATTTATATTTCAATGTTATATTTCAATCTAACAAGCAGGTGCTAAGAACTATTCAAGAACTACCACATGTTTAGAAAAGGTCTCTTCTTTTGTTTGTTGGTTATTTTAGAGATGGGGTCTCACTATGGTGCCCAGGCTGGCCTCAGCAATCTTTCCACCTCAACCTCCTGAGCAGCTGGGACTACAGGCTCATATACCACTACACCCAGCTTGAGCTTTTTTTTTTTTTTTTTTTAAACAAATTTGATTTATCAGGTCAATATATTGTAGGCTTCCGTGAAAATGTATATCATATAAATATAATAGCATTTGAACATAAAAACACAAAAATCATCTGCTGTTGTTGTACCAAGGAGGAACTATGAGTTATTCAATTTTGGAAAAGCAGTGTCCAGCATTTCATAGATGTTCAATAAAAGAATGTTGAATAAAAAATATATATCCATACACACACAGTCCCTGATTTAATGATAGTTTGACTTAACAATTTTTAAACTTTATGATGGTATAAAAGTGATAAGCAGTCAATAGAAACTTCACTTTGAATAACTGTATAACCATTGTTTTTCACTTTCAGTACAGTATTAAATAAATTACATGACATAATTAATACTTTATTATACAATTGGTTTTCTGTGAGATGATTTTACCCAACTGTAGGCTAATGTAAGTATTCTGAGCATGTTTAAGGTAGGTTAGATTAAGCTACGATGTTCAGTAGGTTATCATATTAAACTCATTTGTGACATATACTTTCAACTTTGGACAGGTTTATTAGGATATAACTCCATAGTTAGTTGAGGAGCATCTGTATAGGAATGAATAAACAGATTGCTGACAGACAGAAAAGACCAAAAAAAGAGATCTCTCGTATGAGGGAGATTATTTCATTATCTAAGGACAATCCTATATATTTTCATTTCTATAAGCCAATTATGAAACTTACTAATTCCCTTCACATACTGTTCTATGTGATGATTCTTTTATCAGAGAAATATAACTCTTTTATTTTCTAATCTTTCCATCTTGAACTGGGACTCTGATCATCATCTCTAACCTTATATTTCTATTGACACTCTCATAATCTCTCAGATATCAATTTCAAACAAACACAACTGTACAAGTAGTACCCAAAAATAGTTAGGTCTACAAAAGGGCTTAGACATTTCCATATATACCAGTATTAGGAAGAGAATGATCATCTTTAATATTTTATCTACAAACTATGTTCATTAATCTTTATTTCCAAAGTATGGGTCTATTGGCCTCCATTGCTTAACATGGCAAAGAAGAAAAATGAAAAAATAAGAGATATACCTTCCTATTCACGGGAAATAACTAGCCCTCATACTCCAAATGAATACATATTAGTGGACATGGTAAACATCAAGTAAAAAAATAATTTAAAAATATTACAGTGTTTCATTAGACATAGAATTCAAAATTACTTACTTTAGGAAACATTATTATTCACTGAATCGCAAATATCTGATGGCCATTAGTTTTATATAGCTCAGAACATAAAGAAACTTTTGAACTTATAAAGAAATATTTATTATAACTGGTTTACAGTCAAACAAAACATCTAATCCTCAATGTGCCCATTCCCACTCACACAAAATACTTACGCTGCTTTTGACATCTTTCAGCTTCGGAAGAATGTCTAATCCAAAGCCATCTGCCTGCCCCCGAGTGTTATTTCCACTATTCATGTAGTTGCCAAAAGCTAGAACCAAACCCAGAACCTGCATAACCCCTGGGCCATTTTTTAATGTCTGTAAAATAGAACAAAAAAATTCTGCTTTCATACAAAGTTTTGTTTGAATCATGTTAAGTCAGTGCCAGCAATTTATATTATATTATACTAATAGTTTTGGGTCATAACCAAACTTTTACCATTCCTCATTATTAGCTATCTTTTAAGAGCAGTATTTCCAAAGTTAACTTTAAAAAGTTGCACCACCAACCAACATTCAGGTATGCTTTTGTAAGCTGAGAAGTGGCAATTTAGGCCTTTTCTATGATGTAATTGCAAGGAAAACAAATAAGCCTGAAATATAAGAACTATTACAAAATAATATCACTGCCATCTTCTTAATTGTGCCTATGTCTGAAACAATACAAATTTTTTGGCATCACTTATAGGAAAACACCAAAAAGCAGTTATAAAGGTTAGTTTCCAGATTTAGATTTATCCCCCCCAACAGTTCACACTCCCTTCTTCCAAAACACTGTGTTTAACTTGAATTTCTTTGCCACCTCTTCTAAAAATGTAAGCCTTTAATATATCATCTTTCCCCTTTTCAAAAAGGTTTACCACAATCAGAACAAATGGTATTATCGATTTTTGACAAATCGTTTTAAATGTTAATATTGGATATCTCTGCCAAGCATTTGTTCCTTGTTTTCAGGAGAATATTTATCTTCTGTTGAGTCATATGGTTGTTTCTAAATCATTTGGTTGGAATAATTATTAACAATTTGTTGAAGATCCTTTCCAAAACAATGAAGGAAAGTAAATATTATAAAATGCCTTCAAATTGCATTCATTTGGAAGTCTGATGTCTGAGAGGCCCACGAAAAGCAAAGATGTTGTTGGCAAAAGCAGAGGGCAGAGAAAACACCCTAGCAATGTGGTCCTGTCGCCCCGTGTGCCAATATGAAAATCTGCTTTGATTTTGAGACTCAATCATAAAATGTTCCCTTCTGTGGGACTGCTATCCTTCAAAGTTAATGAGTACTTAGAGTAAATGATACTTTTTTGAAAAATTTGAACACAATTGAATGAAATTAAATATCAGAACTCAAGTTTAGCTCTCTCTGGACCAGAACTCACCTCACACAACTTCTGTAGTAATTCCAGTTTGCGACGAATGGAGCAAATGCTTTCAGAAAACGTGGACTGGAACAGGATGCAAAAGACTCGCTCTGAAAAGTTGGGGATTAGTGACAGCTCATAAAGGAACCTAAGGAAATAAAGCCAAATGAAGAGGAAAAATATAACTCACACAAACAGATGTGCATCCTCATCTCATTCATAACAAGTACATATTGAAGACACTGCATTTTTGCATCTCCAAACGAAAAGAATCCACCCGTAGCCTGGGTGTCTCTGCGTGGTCCTAAGACATGCTTACTGTTCAGGTTTGTCCAGAGACTTGGGATTCTTCTTGTCTTTGGAAGACCGGCCGTGCTTTTCAATTTTTTCCAGTTCATCTGACTGTGCTCTCTAGAAAAACAAAAGCCAAGCAGTTTTTCAAAATCTGGTCAATGGAACCCTTTAGATAATGATCTAATTATCCTGCTAAATCTAATGATCTTAATATAGTAACTCTGTATTTTCATATTTCTTAGCATCCGTATGTAGTAAAGCTTGACTTAATTCATGAAGCATTTGAAAGTGTAAATATATTTAATGCAAACCAGATCATCTCCAAATCTTCCAAATCATGTTATTGACTATTAGCGATCTGTAAAACGTTTATTCATTCAAGCATGAGTTAAAACAATGAAGTTTTCCCTTGTTATTTTGGCTGTTTATAGTAAACTCTAGAATACAAGAATTTCATTTCAAATTGGTATTCCTTATTCAGAAATCAATCGAGTTAAATTTGGAAGTAATTTTATCCTAAAGTTTTATAACATTTTTAATGGAAAAAAAGTACTTATGTAACTATTGCAATTATTGTTACTGCTTTTTAAATTTTGGGAAAAGAGAATTACATTTGAATTTTAAAAAAATGGAACAAAAATAAAAGGTTTTGATCCTTTGGCTGAATTTTCTTTTCGATATAAAAATGGCTCCAGGCTCATTTTCTTAAACATCATCTTTCACCTTTTATAATCACAAACTAAAAACTTGTCATCCCAAATATATTTCCTTATGAGAGACAATCTTCTGCATTTTTAATATAAGGTAGAAGATATTATAGACTTCAAGAAGCACAAATCTATGCCATTTTATAGAGTATTATGATTATTTTTGAGTCAATTCCTGCTTTGTATTTACTGATTATTTTGAAATGCAGCTTTTCAGTTGATGAGATTAACTAACTTAGGACCTCGAAAGAAGCTTCTTTTAACAGGGGAAGAAGAGCTGATCAGAGATCAGCCAGAGAAAAAATTGGTCCTCTGACAATTTCAAATTTTGCTTTTGGAATGTGATGTATCCAAAGGATACAAAGAAGTAAGGGAATTGTGTTTTATTGCAAATATCTCAAGCCACTTCAAAAATTAAGAATCTTCTTCTACAATTTCAATTATGCATTGAACATATGTTTTCTCCCAATTTATTGGGGCCCTGACAAAGAATTTTAAGGGAAAAAAATACCACCTCATTTACTTATCAGTTACCTATAAGAGTCAGCCTCACAGATACTATCAGAGGACCACTTTAAAGCCATATTGCAAGGTGGACTTTTTAAATGGGCAATATCCACCCATCTGGCAAATGAGAGACCGGGGTACCATTCTAAAAGAATATTAAAGCTAAGAATATCAATGAGGCAAGGGTTGTTTTAAGATACACAGGTCCACACCAAAGTGTAACCCATAAAAGTTTCTAGTCCCTTTAATTTCTCTATTCCTTTAAGAGATGTGACACCTTTTACCAGAGAGTAGTTGCTTAGTCTGTGATCTCCAAGCCCAACCGCATTCTATACCCAAAACCTCATTAGGAAAAAAAAAAAAAAAACAAACCACAGCTTTCTACAATCTAGTAATTATGGTTGTTGGTTTAACTTTGTGTTTTGAACTTTCAATACCTTGACATAGACTCAACCTAACTGCTGAGTGGACTCAACTGAGGGTGGACACGACTGGAAACCCACTCCACGGACCCAGTAAATCTCCTGGGAGCTTAAAAAACAAACAACAACAATTCAAAGGCAGCTATAACAGAACAAAGATGGCCAAGGTAAATCAAAGTAATAATCAGAGATATAAGAGAAGAATACAATTCCTCTATGTCTTCAGAACAAAGTGACTTTCTGGCAGCACTATGGGGTCATTTCCCAAACTATTCAACACATACGAATTGCTAATTGCTAACTGCATGGTCCTTTATATTCTGTACTCTGTTAGACCATTTCTGCTCATTTCAGAAAGAAACAAAGCTGCACCCTAGGCTGACAGTATGTTTTATGACAAGTAGAGAGAACCATCACTTTGTCCATGTCCCCAAACCTCCTTTCTTCTTCTTCCCCACAACTATGTGTGCACGATGCTCTCTATTCTTTTCTTTTTCTTTTTCTCCTTGGTGCTTAGCTAAGGCTGCCTCAGGTAATCTCTGTCTCTGTCTCTGTCTCTCTCTCTGTCTCTCACACACACATGTACGTATATACACATACAGTCAATTTCTTTATTCATAGACTGGACACTGATTTAGCAAATACTGAACAGTTACTCCCAGGGAAAATACAAGGTTCCCATAAGCCTCTGGAGTCACAACATCTTCATCAACTGATCAATACATAACATTGTTTCATGTTTAAAGACACCTTACAGGCCGGGTGCAGTGGCTCACGCCTGTAATCCCAGCACTCTGGGAAGCCAAGGCGGGCAGATTGCTCGAGGTCAGGAGTTCGAAACCAGCCTGAGCAAGAGTGAGACCCTGTCTCTATTATAAAAAGAAAGAAATTGATTGGCCAACTAATACATATATAGAAAAAATTAGCAGGGCACAGAGGCGCATGCCTGTAGTTCCAGCTACTCGGGAGGCTGAGGCAGTAGGATCACTTGAGCCCAGGAGTTTGAGGTTGCTGTGAGTTAGGCTGACGCCATGGCATTCACTCTAGCCTGGGCAACAGAGTGAGACTCTGTCTCAAAAAATAAAAATAAAAATAAAGACACCTTACATAACATATACTGTTCAGTCATTAACACTCAACTTATGGCCAGCAGCACCATAACTCACTGCTCAACAAAGTTTGTCTAACACACAGATTTTCCCTGTAAGGCACACCACAGCCTTCCTGTGCTTATGGACACTAGACAGCACTTCAACACTATGCTTGGAAGCCTTTTTAGACAGCAAAATCCCTAACAAAAACATGGCAATGCAAAAAACATGGCACCACATAGACTGTGAAAAGATACTTGTTCACTGTATGCGATCTGAAACAAGAAGGCGGAATGTTGCCTTCTAAGACTTCAGCTAGGAATGGCATGCCCCTCAGGAGACTCAAATTTTTCACCACTCAGCACATGTTCCTCAATAACCAGAAAAGCCCCACAGGTATTGATTCGGGGGTTACAAATATATTTTAGTGACTAGGCAAATTTGCAAATACGAAATCCAGAAATAACGAGGATCAACTTTATATGAGTGTGTGTGTATACACATATGCATATATATGAGAGTCATTATAAGTATATACTCTTAATCCCCTTCATTTTTCCCCTTCAGTTACTTCAGAAAAATGTTATCTTTTCATTCTACAACCATGGCGATAATTCATATGCAGAAAGATGGCAGTGGTACACCCGAATCCACACATTTTGAAATAGTAATTGTCTTCAAGACATACCAACCTCTAAAGCCCGCGATGTATCCTAAAAGTCCCTTCATACTCTGTATACGCTCCAACAAACTGCACCTAAGCAATGACTATTCATTACTTAAATAAAGATTCTTTGCAATTGGAGAGCAGTAGAGCTACTCTCAGTAGAGTTTTCAATATTTTTTAATCCAATATTTAAAATAGTCATTTGTAGGCTAGCCAGCCCAAGAACCAAAACACTACTCATGGTATGGTTGTATTGTTTTTTTTTTTTAAAATCCTAGTTGTCAAGTGCCAATTTTCAAATGACTCCATCTCCTCTTCAATCTGAAAATGCTTTGGAGGGGAGAGGAACTTCACAAGAATAGCATATCAATCAAGAAAAAGCAAATGAAAAATGATCCAATTGAAAATGTCCAGGTGGGGATATCTATGAGGTGGTAAGAACATAAGATAGGCTTGGAGGTTGTACAGCCAGCAGATGAGTACTGCTTGCCTGTTGTCATATACTACTGTGATACCATATACTGTGATATCATGCACTGCAATAGTGAGAAGGAAAACCAAGCCTAGCAAACCCCAGCTTCTGCCTTCAGGAAGTCTATACCGGAGGAAGAGAAATGGATAAACTCTCACTAAATAGTGTGATGGGTGCTCCTTTAACGGTACTAAGTAATGGCAGCAGGACACAGGGAGGCTTGGGAGAACTTGGAACATTTGGAGTCTACAAATAACTCTGGAAAACTGCTAGGGCAAAAGATAAACGATTGGGAATCAGCTACTTAAGTCAAAGATGAAGAGAATTCTAACGATGACTCTTCAGAGGAAAGACGGAAGCCAGCCAAGGACAGATCCTGGAGAGGACTCACATATCAAGGAACAGGCGGGAGGAGGAGGAAGAGGAGCCAGTGCAGATGTGGGAGAAGAGGTCACAGATGCACAATGCAAAAAAAGACACATTTTTATCCTCAGGGAAGGGAGCAAAGATAGAAGGGAAGAACAAGGACACAGGGGAGTTTAATATAGAACAAGAATATCAGAAAGATCTTTCGTGGGGATAACCTTGACTTTGTGAATAAACATGGAGGTGAGATCATCTCCCACCAGTGAGGAAGTTCAGGATGAGGACGATGACTTGGCCTGAACGAGGTCTGTAAGAGCCAATGTGTGAGGAACACAAACAATGGGAGATGAGCAAAGAAAGGGACTAAAACTCAACAGTGATGAACCAGCTCAGGAAAATGAAGAGGAGGGGTTCCTGGGAATCAACAGAAGGGGAAATCGAGTTATTATTAAAATAACTTGAGGTACAGTGAGGATAAAGGACAGGTTCAGAGAGGTTATCGCATAGATGAAGATAAAAAAAAAATGTACCCTCCTAAATATCTTGCAAAGGATAAACACCATCATGCTTAACATGGCTCACCAAGGTCCCCATGGTTCAACTTCACTCTTGCAGATCCGTGTGTGCCAACCACAGGCCCTCTCTCCCTGTGACATGGCATGGTAGCTCTCTTCCTTCCACCACCACATCCTCCATATGTGGCCTCCTGGGTCTGGAAGGCTCTTATTCAACAGATGCTCAATCATCATCTTCACCAGGGAAACATCTTCTGAACAGAGATCATTTTCCAACTACTTTTCCTCTTTTGTCTTATTGCCATTTAATTTTACCCTTATTTATTTTTGTGAATCTCTAATTAATATCTTCCCCATAGAGACTGAAAGT